GGAGTGAGTCCATGCCAAGATGTACTCCCTACAGGGGCTTCTACCTGTGCCGTGGCCTGCATGCTTCCTGACCTCTGCCTATTCTCTCAGCTACAGGTGTACCCAAGGAGCTCCAGAGCTGCCCCTGGAAGGCCTTGGATCTTTTCTGTGGCCTGGAGTCACAGCCAAGCTCCAAACCCATCCCAGCACAGACATTCAGGGAGGAGGTGTTCAGCAACATGTCAGAAAGCATAGAGCTGCTGGCCCTGGGAGAGACCACCTCAAAGGTGGAGGTGGCTGAGGAGAAGATGGAAGGTGCAGCATGGGGTGACACATCGGAGATGCCTTACTGGAGGAGAGTTGTCAATGGCAATGCCATCATCCTGCTTGTGCTTGTAGTCCTTGGCCATATCTACTACTCCTGAAGCAGCTCGGCCAAGAGCTGCTAGGGAGGGCAGGTAGTCCATCCTCCATTGCTTTGTTTGCTCATTTTTAGAGGTGTGGCCCTGCTGACCAAGATGCTGAGTTATGTGAGCTCCATCCACCCCCACTGGGGCTCTCACCCACAAGCCATGGGGCACCAGCTGCTTGAGAGGGAAGCTTGGGCACCTGCCTGGACCAGGGGCAGGGCCAGAGCAACTTCTGCTCCAACAAAACAGGTTTCCCTACAACCCAGCACTGATGGCTTCTCCCATACTGCTGGAGGGCAGGTGGAGAGGAAACTCCCTCCATGCCAGCTCTCCAAGTCACACTTGCAATCTTTCTGGTATCAGAACATTACTGGGAGTTGGGCCCATAGATTCTCTCTTAGCTGTCAGACATAGGCTACTCCTAAACCTTTCCTTCCCCTTCATTTTTCCCAGTCCAAAATAAGTGATTTGTGTTTTTAGGAAAAATTTCAGGTTCCTTGAAGTTATTTCATCACAAGAATCACACTCTAAAGGCATACTCACATGACCAGCCCTCATCCCCTCATCCAACCCCTTAATTGACATTTTTGAGTGCACATAGTAGATGTGCCAGCCAATGTGTTGAGCTCCAAGGAAACAGTCATGAATAGAGCACATGGGAACTGTTCTCAGGAGTGTATGGTCTATGGAGAGAAACAGCAATTTCAACAATAGCCGGCATTTCATGGAGCCTTCTGTTTTCAGACCTGGGTAAGTGCATTATCACATTCAAGCCACAGAACCACCTTGTGGAAGGATGAGAATTAACCACATTTCACAGGGGAAGATACTGAGGCTCAGCAAGGGAAACTAGCAAAGCCTACAGCAGCCCTGACCAACACTCAGGTCATGTGCTGGTCCACCATGCAGTGTGTGCCCTGCAGGAGTGCTCAGCAGGGAACCCCACCCAGCCCCAAAATCAGGAAAGAAGTTCAGTTGTCTGGATAACAGAAGGGACATGTGTGAGAAGACACAGGGCAAGAGTACAAGGAATGTTTGAAGATGCTGAGATATGGCATGTGAGTAGAGAAGAGGAAGAATCAGAAGCCTGCCCAGGAAACCTGGTATGCTTTGGGGACCTGGGAGTTTAAGCAGGGAAGTGGCAGGATCAGATTTGCTGTCTGCTGCTGGGAAGACTAAAGAGAAGCAGAAAGACCCACCAGGAGACTGATAGAGTAGTGCAGGCAAGTTAGTGGAAGAGAGGCAAAAGAAGGGAACCCTTTGGAGGGAGGGATTGGGGGATGGCTCTCTGGTTTGACCATGTGGATAAATGGGGTTCCAACTCCAGAGACGAGTCATACTGGAGAATGAGCAGGAATGGGGAAAAGATGTGCTCATTTCCACCTTGAAGAGTTTGAGCTGCATGAAGACATTTATCATCATCTTGATAATACTGCTTTCTAATCCATGAACATGGGATGTCTTTCTATAAATTTGGGTTTTCTTTAACGTTTTTCAACATTTTTGCTTTCAGTGTACAAGGCTTGCATTCCTTTTGTTAAATTTATTCTTAGCCGGGCTCGGTGGCTCAGCCTGTAATCCCATGCCTTTGGGAGGCTGAGGTGAGTGGATTGCCTGATCCCGCGGGTTCGAGACCCACCTGGGCAGCGAGACCTCATCTCTACAATAAATCAAGAAATCAGCCGGGTGTGGTAGCGCATGCCTGTAATTCCGGCTACTTGGAAGGCTGAGGTGGAAGGATCGCCGGAGTCCAGCAGGTCAAGGCTGCAGTGGCCGGGAGCAGCCACTGCACTCCAGTCTGGGTGACCAAGTGAGACTCCAACTCAAAAAAAAAAAAAAAAATTTATTCGTAAGTATTTTATTACTTTTGATACTATTATAAATGAAATTGTTTTCTCAACTTTGGTTTTGGATGGTTCATTGCTAGAATATGGAAATACAATTAATTTTATTAATTTATATTGATCTGTATCCTGCAAATTTGCTGAATTTGTCCATTAGTTCTAATAGTTTTTAAGTGTATTTCCTTGGGATTTTTAAAAAATACAAGACCGTGAAATCTGTGAAAAGCGACAGTTTACTTCTTTTTTTCCAGTTTGAATACTTCTTCTTGCCTAACTGTCCTAACTAGAACCTCTAGCACAGTGTAGAAGGGAAGTGGCAAGAATGGACATCCTTGTCTTGTTTCTGATATTGGGGGAAAGCAGTCAGATTTTTGCCATTGAATATAATGTTAGCTGAGTTTTTACAGATGTTCTTTATCATGTTGAAGAAGCTGCCATTTATTCCTAGTTTACTGAGTTTGTTTTTGTTTTTAATTGTGAACGATTATTGGATTTTGTGGAATGCTTTTTCTGCATCTATTAAGATGATCATGTGACTTTTGTCCTTGATTCTATCTACATGGTATATTATGTTGATTGATTTTCATATGCTAAACCAACCGTGCATTCATGGGGTAAATCCCAGTTGGTCATGATGTATAATACTTTTTACATGTTGCTGGACTTGGTTCACTAATATTTTGTTGAGTTTTTGTTTTTATTATCATAAGGAATATGGGTCTGTGTTTTCTTGTGGTGTCTTTGAGGGTAGAATTAACCTCATAGAATGTGTTAGGAAATGATTCCCCCTTCTTCTACTTTTTGGAACAATCTGTAAAGGACTGGTGGTAATTCTCACCTGAAGACATGTTTCTAAATTTATTTTTTATTTTCTTCTAGAGACAGGATCTCACTCTGTCACCTGGACTGGAGTGCAGTGGTATGATTATAGTTCACTGCAATCTCCAACTCCTAGGTTCAAGTAACTCTCCCTCCCTCAGCCTTTCGAGTAGCTGAGACTACAGGCACACATCACAGCTAATTTAAGCTTTTTTTTCCCCCTAGAGATTGGGTCTTGCTGTGTTGTCTAGGCTGGTCTCGAATTTCTGGCTTCAAGCAATTCTCCCACCTCAGTCTCCCATCCTGGAGACATTTAAGGGTAAATGTTAAGTTGGATATAAGAGTCCAGAACTCAGGAGACAGGCTGGGACTAGAGACCCAGATTTGGGGAAGAGAGGGCAGAGGGCAGGCCCAGCTAAGAAGGAACCTGGTAGAAGAGGCCCCCAGCCAGGTAGATGAGATTGTGTAGAGAAAGGGGGAGAAGGGAGGGCCTAGAACAGAGCCGTGAGAGGCACCAGCACCACCGGCCATAGAGAAAAATGGTTCTACAGAGGAGACTGAGAGCACAGAGTCCTGCAGGGACTCAGACCTTGGCCAGAGTCTGTGGTGTGGAGCCAGCCTGCTGTGTGTTGAGGCAGGAGGACATGAGGAAGTGGAGCCCCTCAGGCACTTGATCTCTGAAAGAGAAAAGTCTGCTTCTTTTCACAGGAAATTTTTAGAGAATGGGATTGAAACTGAAACCCCAGCTTGTTCCAGTGGCCAGTCCCTTTCAGAACAAGGGGCCTCCTTAGACCCATCCTTTAATTCCAGAGACACAATAGTCTCTGTTTCTTTCAGGAAGGTGCAGACCTCTGGGGCTCTTTGAAGGGACCACAGAAGAGCCTCACTTTGGGATTCTGGCTTTGCTGATAAACTTTATTCTGGGAGAGTGGGCATCCCACAGGAAGTATGACTGCCGGGTGGTGATATGAATGAAGGACACCTCGTTTGACATGGGGAGCCTCAACAAACTCCTGGGAAAAGATTAAGGCTCCGGCCTAGCCCCAGACAAAAGGGCCAGCCCCAAGGCTGAGCTCCGCTCCCACAGCTCCTCCAAGGGAGAGCAGGGCTAGTTGCTGCCCCCAAGCTAGAGCCATCACCTCACCAGACCAGGCAGCAATGGGTGGGGAAACCAAAGGGTTCTCCTGGCCACTCCCCAACCTCATCCCCATGCCTTGGACTCCTCTGCAACCAAGCTTCCCCCCACCCCATCCTCTCAGCCCACCCCTCATTCCCTGAGCTCTCCAGCCTCCTTAGCTACTTTCACTGCAGGGGACGAGTGAGATGGTACACACAGGCAGAAGGCCTGCCAGAGGGCTACCTGGGGCTGGACAGGCCCGAGGGGGGAGAGGGTGGAGGGTGTGGACTTGCTTTGGAGAACGCAGCTGTTTGGGGAGAAGATCTTAACAGCAAAACCAGAACCCACCCCTGTCCTGAGTGCTCATCCCTGGGAGAGCCTCTTATAGCAGACTTAACCTCTCCTGGGAAGAACCTGCCTCAGGTCACAGCTTTCACTTTCTTTCTTGCCTCCCATGGGGGGGAAGGGGCAGACCTGGCTGAGCAGGGTCATGCCCAGCCACACCCCAAGGGCAGGTCACTCAACCTGTGAAGCTCAGGTGGTATCTGGTGCAGCTGAGCTCCTTTCACCTTCCCAACCCCCATCCCTGGTGGCTCGGCCCTGCTCTCTCCCTTTCGAGAGCAACTTTTGGCCACAGCAGAGAGCAGAGCCACCTCCCACCCATCTAGCATGTGCTGCCTGAACCCAGTCCTTCTGGGCCTGGCATTCCCCTTTGGCAAGAGAGAGTTGTGACCATGTTCCAGGAACAGAAAGTGCCATTCACACCCGAGATAGATTCAGCCCGTTTATTCAGGCATGGAGGTGGTTCATAGGTTTGACCAGATGAGGGGCTCAGGGTTTCCACTCGATGACCTTGATGGCAATCTGGGCTGCCCGTTTCACAGCCTCAGTGGACTGTTCCTCGAGGATGCGAAAGATGGGCACATGGGCTTGCAGGATCTTGCGACCCTCGGGGGCCTCGGCCAGCATGGTGAGGGCCTTGGTGGCATTCAGGCGCACCTTGCTCGTGGGTGTGAGCAGCAGCTCCAGGAGTGGCTTGATGGCTTCTGCATCCAGAGCTGCATACTTCCCTGCAGACCACAGACATGGGGCATTCCTAACACCTGCATTCCTAACAGCCTTCCCACCTGTGCAGTATCAATGGGAGGCACCCCACATGCCCACCTAAGCCCTCACCCCCACTTCCCTTGCACCTTTGCTGAGTTCAGTCTAAGCCAGGCCCCTGCATCTCCTGCCTGTCCAGCCCCCAACTGGTTTATCCCCATTCACTTTTGTTCCTGACCCACAATCCAGTCCTCACAAGGCAATACCAAGGGTCTTTCTAAAATGTCACTCCAAGAACCCCCCCACCTCCATGGTCTTCAAAGTCCACCTCCCCCCCTGCCACTGTGTTCGGTGAATTCCCATTTGCTGCCAGAACCTCTCAGATTCAGCCCTACTAACTCCCACTATTCTCTGGGTACCATCCTCAAGCCCTCCCAGAAAGGCTGGGCCCTGTTGTATGTCTCACCCATGATGCACTCCTTTCCCGAGGCCCAGACACCTGGGTCCCCACCGTCCAGCTCAGGGTTTGACATATGGCAGGGTCTTAGAGACCTTCACCTGGCATGCCAGCTTGGGAATAAGTGGCCTTCCCTCCCTAGATCCCAGCCTCTTGTGTCTCAGGCCATTGCCTGGCCCCCAGTGAGTCCCTGTGTCCTCCAAGAGCTCCTAAAAGAAGCCTGGGCAGAGAAGGACACTGGGACATTTCTCTGCACACGGCTGCCCCAGGATAAACACATAGGTAAGTCCCTACCCTGTGCAGTCAGCATCCTGCCTGTGCAATCAGAAGGGGGGCTGTGGACACTGAGAAGTCCCCAGCCTCCTCCTCTCTGTGTTGCTCACTCCATCCACTATTAGGGTCTGTGGGGAGTGGCTGGAAGGACCTGTCTCTGGGAGACAGGCTGCAAATCTGAGGCCCAAACAGTCCTTTGTGGAACACAAAGGAAGCATAGGGCATGGGGCTTGCGCAGGCACATGGCCAGTGGGGAAGGTCAGGCAGCTTTTAGAGGGTCTGGGGGGTGCCATACCCAGCCAACCTGGTGGAAACCAGTTCAGGGTTCTTCTGTTGGCTCAGGGTTGGATGACAGGAGAGAAGCCTGCTGACTGGGAGTTTTGAGGTTGGGGACTCAGGGGAGATAATCCTGAACTCTTATTTTCCCCTCCCCTAATGTGAGAAAAGTAATTAGAAACAAGAAACACCACAGCATCAAGGGCTCCAGGGTTGCTTAGACCTCAGGGTAATAGAATCATGGTGGCAAACTCATTAACCCCAGAATCACAGCTGAGTGGGAGGTAGGAATTCCAGGCCCAGGGAGGTCCTAATGTGAGTGACCAGTGAGGGGTCACGGGTGGCCCCCATGCCCAGCAAGAAGAGGGCAGACTGAGCCTTGGACCAAACCTTGAAGGGACTTCAGTGACAGGCCAAGAAGAGGATTTTGACAGAAATGGAAGCCGAGGGGCAATACCCAGCCCCTGAGCACAGACAGCTCACCATGGCTGCCAGCATGCTGTGGCTTACCCTGGGGCCCTCCACCTCACCTTTAGTAGTCACTGTGGCATACATCAGGGCTCCAGCGGCATTGGCTTGCACCTCGGCCTCATCGTCTTTCAGCAGATGCACCAGGATAGGGATGACATCATGCTGCCACACCTGGATCTTGCCCTCCAGAGGGATGCTGGGGCAGAGAGCAGACAACTGTGGGCTCTGCTTGGAGGATAGGAAGGGGGCAAGGCCCAGGACTGCCCAAGGGGAACACAAAGTAAAGGAATGTGTTGGAACTACCTGGTGGTCAGAAGCTGGCCATGGCTGCAGAACCAGGTACAGAGGAGTATGGGTGTGAGCACGGCCTGCTGCTTCTGAAGGCCAGGCCGGGGGTGACAGAGCCTTGTCCTAAACCATCACTCAGAGAAGAAATGAGATATGTTCTCCCTGACTCCAAAACAGGGAGGAGCAGGACCCAAGAGTGGGAGCTACAGAGAGACCCACCTTGATTCCACCCCAGAGTCAGAACTGCCAGTGATGAGCCAAGGTGCCCCCAAAAAGCAGTGGCTGCCAGGGCTGGACAACTGCAGCTAAGACTCAGACCAGATGACCTTCAGGTCGCCTCTCACTCTGGCATTGTATGAAATGAAAACAAGGGGGATGGGCTTGGAGGCTCAGCCTGTTATCCCAGCACCTTGGCAGGCCAAGGCGAGTAGATTGCCTGAGCCCGCAGGTTTGAGACCAGGCCAGGCAAACTGGCGAGACCTCGTCTCTACAATAAATAAAAAATTGGCCAGGGATGGTAGCGAGCGCCTGTAGTTCTGGCTACTTTGAAGGCTGAGGTAGAAGGACCGCTGTAGTCCAACAGGTCGATGCTGGAGTAGCCATGAGCATGCCACTGCACTCCAGTCTGGGTGACGGAGTGGGACGCCAACTCAAAAAATAAAAATAAAAATAAAAAATAAGGGCAGTGGACTCCCTGAGAGTTTCCCAACTGCAAGAGGCCAATGCATTCCCAATGAAGGAAAGGGCTTCCTGGGCCAGGAAATGCTGTCTACAGGGGCCCCAAGGGAGTGTCAAGCACAAAGACCCCTGTGTCACTTAGTTTAATCAGCCTTTCCCAAACACAGGTGCCCAGAGACCCTCATTGTCATAGAACTCAGCTCCTCAAAGACAAAGCTGTTCCATGGGAACATAGTTGGGGAAACAGGGTTGGCCAGCTACTAGCTGTGATGTTGGGAGGCTGTTGAGCTTTCAGGACAGTGGGCTTCAGGCCTGAGGCACTTGATCAAAGATGCAGAATCCTGGGCCCCACCTGTAGGAATTCCCAGATTCATTCACAAAGCAAGCAGCCAGGCCTGGTCCTGACACTGAACTGGGTTTTTCATCTCTGTGCTGTTAACATTTGAAGACAGACAATTCTCAACTGGGGGAGGCCAAAGCTCGCCAGATGAAAACCCTGGAAGGCCGAAGTTCCACGGAGAGAGCTCGCTCCTGGTCCCACCAGAAGGGGCCCTCAGAGTAGACCTGAAGAACGATGGGTCCAGGAAGCTGCATTTTACACAGTCTCCCAGGGGCCTGGGCTTGCAGAAATACTGGACCAGTATTCTCTAGTGAGACTCCCAGATGGAAAGGAAGCCAGGACTTAGGGAAGGTAAGAGGGGTACCATATGAGGACATGGCCTCATATGCTAGGGGTCGGGGGCTGGACAAGGTGCTCAGGGTAGGAACATGCACTGCCCCCTCCCTCCAGCTCTGAGGCTTTGTGCCTCACAGCTTTCGGGCTAGGATGTAGACTGATCCCATGTGACCTTGGGCACATGACTAGACACCATGCCTCAGTTTGCTCGCCTGTAATGGGAGATGCCCTCCCTGGAGGGTTGCTTAAACATGAAATTTGTAGACAACACCTGGCACACAGAAGCACTTGTTGACCACAGGGTATAACTGTCATCACCAGTACTTCTGTGCTTCCCTACCTCGTGGGGGAGGGGGTGACCACCCATCTGGTTTCTCCAACCTGAGGTTTCCTGGGACACAGGACACTCTCAGACCAGCAGGATGGTATCACCCTAGTGGAGACAGCTATTTTCCATACCATTCCCCCAGCCCCAGGGCACTCGCAGGTGAGGGGAAGCAGGTCCGGGGTAGACGTCCTCAAGCTTGGGGCCAGCCCACCTCGGCTGCCTTGGCAGAAACCCACTGGGCGGCCACTCAACCCAACGGGCCAGGCTCACCTGACAGAGATGAGCGCACGGGCTGCCTTGCTGCGGATGTTGCCGTTGGTGCTGAGGAGCTTCTGTTTCAGGAAGGGCACCACGCGGCTGCTCAAGGCCTCAGTAGCGTCCTCCTGCAGGCAGGGGGCCAGTGTGTCCAGAATGAGCTCTTGGATCTCCTCCTCCTCCCTGTGCAGCTTCCACACCAGCAAGGGGATCAGGCCATTGCTGATGATGCCTCGGGCTCCTACAGGACAGGAAAGGGTGCTGAGGGTAGCTGGCCATGCACCCACCCATGCTGGTGGGGCTGCAGGGTTCGGGTCCTGTAGAGCCTGTGAGTGGGTTTAACTAGAAGCCTTGCAAGTGTCCCGCTGCCCAGTCGGGGGCCTGAGCAGCCAGCAGGAAGCTGCAGGTGACAGCCATATCAGGAGCTGGGGCAGGGCTGAGAGGGGAAGTCCAGAAAGTGCCAGTCTCTGGTGGCCACTGCCTCAGGGGACATCAGCCATACATAAGTGCACAGCGGCCTAAGAGGCAGAAGCCACCCCTAGGAGAGCCCTGCAGCCTACCTCTCTGGGGTCAGGCACACAAAGAAACCCTCTGCTCTTTCCTGTCCCACCCCAGAGCGGGGGAGTCAACTAATCCCCCGCTTCCCACTTAAAACATTTCAAAGCTGCTGGAGGCCCCAGACTGGTCGGGCCAGCCCTTGAGAAGATCTGGGATTGGAGTCTGAGGCAGAAGACCTAGAACACTCTAACTCTTAGCCCTAAGCTGGCACAGGCAGCTTCCCGAGGGGCCCAGGATGACCTCCTGAGAAGTCAAGATGAGGAGCACAGGGACCTTGAGCAAAGCCCCGGGGAGAGCATCCCTTGCCCACGGCACATGGCTGCTCTCGCTGCTGTCCTGCAGACAGCCCTCTCCCACCTCCCTGCAGCAGCACTGCCCACTGAGAAGCCCTCTATAACCCCCGGGAGGTGGCCACCAACAGACACCTCTCTCTCCCGCCCTCCCCAGCGAAACCCTCTAATTTACTCTAGAGAGCCAAACAGGTTAATTAGCCTAAAGGTCTCTGAGTGCCAATTAGCACCAGGGAATTCCTCTTTGAAGCTGTCACCCCAGCCTTCTTCCCTCACTCCCCGAGGATATCAAATGGCAGGTGCCAGGGTGAGGGGTGGAGAGGCAGGCCAAAATGTTCAGCAGCTCTTGTTGCCCATGACCCTGGTGTTCAGGGCTCCCAGTGCTCTTGCTGAACTTCTCGCTGGGAGTTCAGGGTAGAGTAGCTAGCTCTGCACCATTTGTTTTCAGGGCACTCATGACCCAGGAAAAGCAGTTTCCTGTTGCTTCAAGTGTGTTGGGCTTTTAAGATTTAATACAGTTTTCAAAAAACAAAACAAAACAAAAGCCTAGGTTTGACTCCTTTCCTAGCTGTGAGACCTTGGGTGAGTTACTCAACCTCTCTGAGCCTGGTTTTGTCATCACTGAAAGGAGCCTCCCCGGCAGGCGACTATACAACACCCATAGGGTTGTGGGTGGGAATGTGTTCCATGAGCTGTGGATTTCCAGTCCATGTAAGGGACTGTCACTGTGTGCCCAGAACATCTGGGCCGAGGGCGGCAAGTGTCTCCTGAATTCCACCAACACGAGTCCCACCTAGGAGCAAGGACCTGCTGGGAGGGAGGGGCAGGATACAACAACAAAAGCTGCAGAGTCTAAGCCCTGCATTGCCCCCTGGCCACCTCTCCTGGTGGCCTGATCTCTCCTCCCCAGCAGTCCCCCTCATGGTCCCAACCTGTTCCAGGCCATGAGTCCAAGGGACAAGGCTCCAGGCAAGGGCACGCCTGAGCAAAGGCCTGGGGGTGCGGAAGTTGTGAATCCTCACTGGTTTGAGCGTGGCCTCGTTTGCACCAAGATCTGAGCTTCCCAGGAAATCCCAGGGACAGGTGTCTCTGCTGGGGCTGCCAGGAACTGCTTGGAATGGGCACAGGCTGGGGGAAGGACAGAGAAAGGGAACTGAGGTAAGAAAAGTCAGATTAGGGGAAGTGATTACTTTCATTATCCCCTCTCCATTGGTGAGGAAACCAAGGCCCAGAGCGGTGATTGTCATACCCAAGGTCACACAGCAGATGATGGCAAAGCCAGCCAGGGTCTTCAGCTCCTCCGGTTTTGGTTCTCAGGCACTTATCTTGGGCCTTCCACTCCTAGAAATGCTCAGCATAGGGACCAGGACTCATTTTGAGCAGAGGGAGAAGATTAAAAATAAAACGCGTGCCGGGTGTGCCTTTCTGCTTGTTCACTTTGCTTCTTTTCAGCTAAAAGAAGAGTCTCAGGCCTGGCTATTTATAACTAACCCAGATCCACGATGGCTTGCTCAAGTGGGGGTGGGGCACACAGACCCCAAGGAAACAAACTGGAGAAACCCACCCAGATAGGCATCAGCCTGGTGGGATGCAGGAGAGGTGGGGCACAAAGAAGAGCCAGCCAGGGTAGGGAGGCGGCTGAGCAGGCCAGGCTGGGCCACTGGCAGTACAGACACAAGCGAGACACACCCACCCCCACCCTGGGAAGCCAGAGATTGGTCATTACAGAATAGGATGACACATATGTAGACAGGGAATTCCAGGGCTCTGGGGGCTTTGAAGTGCAGGGAGGTCAGGGAGGATGGGCCTCATAGATGTGGAAAGAGATGTGTTTGGGGAGAGATCCCCCTACTGGCCTGGCTGGTACGTAGGGGTTAGGATGGGTCTGGTAGTTGGTGAGCCATAAAGATGCAGGGGATTGAGGGGTCACAGACACCCATGGCATAACACCACCTGCGGTTGAGGTTTAGTCATTTTATGGGGGAGGGGATGACACCACCTGAGGGGTCACTCCTTGACCGACTGTCCCTGCTAAGTTGGCAAGGTGCTGGGTGAGCTCAGACTCCAGCGTTCCCTTCCTCTGGCTGCTGCAGTGCCCCTACTGTTATTTCCCTGTCAGTGAGGATGCAGGACCAGCCCACAGGTTTTGGTCCCAGCCACATCCCTTCCTGCTCCCGGGACTGCACGTCGGCATCTGGCACCCTGTGTCCACGGCGCCTCAGGTGACCCACCTGTCCAGCTTTAGTGTTGTGTTCCCCTGCGTACTGAACTACTGGCACACTGATGCCTACTGTGCCTGCTTTTGCTCCTGGGGATGCTTCTCTGTCCTCAGCTTCACCGCAGTAGCAGGAGACAGATTAACTGCAGCTTCCTTCTCCAGATGCTCTCTTCCCTTCCCCCCTGGGACCTGTGGCCTCTCCAACTGCTCCTCTATCTTGACGAGCATTATCCCTTCTTCCAGTAGCCGTCTTTGGTTGCTGTCCTCCCCCCTTATCCCCTCCCTGGGGCCTGATGACACCCTTTCGCTGTCACTCTTGGTCTCCCCATGATCCCAGGGACTGAGCTCTGCTCTTTCTCATTTTCTCTAATCAGCTGATATTTTTGTTGTATGATTATACTCAGTAGGACAACTCACCTTGTCTGTGGTACCATACCTACTCTAAATAAATATGGAACAGCCTGGCATTCCTCTTCTCAAATTTAATTTAAGAACTCTCCAGTGGTTCTTAGGCTCACACCCCAATCCCATTATCCCTGGCATCCTTGCATGTATGCCAGTCCTGGCCACAATCGTCTTCTCTGGGTTCCTCTAGGCCTCAAGCTCCTTCATGCCTAGAGTCCTCCCCACCTTGGGACTCACTTCCCTTCCATTCCATGCCACCAGTTATCTCTGCTCCTGCAGTGGTCTCAGCCTAAGCATCTCTTTCTTTGGGGAGCTGGCCCAGTGCCCATGGCTCCCTCGCTCTATGCCCCTAGAGCCGTAGTGGGCCTCCTCGACAGCCTCACACAACTGTAATGGCTGATTCTTGTTCTGCTTTCTGCCCCTGCCCTGCCGCCAAGAGGATGTTCCACGAAAGGGCTAGGTCTAATAAATCCTAGAACTGTGCCTGCAAGTGTATGCTGGTAGAGGAGCCCATCAGTAAATGACTACTGTGTGGATACAGTCATTGATCGGTATGATGCCAAGAGAGACACCCTCCCCCCCACTTTGAGGCTGAGACACCAGGGTCAGGTCAGGGAGGTAGCAACCAGTCGCCAGTGAACTCCTTTGGGGCTAGCCTCTGCTCTCACACCTAGACTACTGGAAAAGGTCATCTCACTCTTACATGTGGGTTTGCCCCTGCAAACAGCTCTGATACCCAATGCTGCAGTGGAAACAGCTTCCATCCATTTCTGAACACATGCCAGTGTTCATTTCTCAGATACGTTGCCCTCAGAATCACCCTCTGAAGACAGTCTATTAACACCCCCTTTTGACAGAAGAAACGGAGACTCAATCAGGTGGCACAGCTGCTGGCATCTGTGTGGTCCTCCTAGTCAGAGGCCCAACCCAATACGGCCAGGTTGTGTAGAGACTGTGCACACAGAGTAACCCCTCAACTGTTGGCCAAATTCCTTTGGTCCTCATTGGCCACCTCCAGCAAGCACTAGGTTGACCTTGGTTCGTGCCAAGTCTACTCTCGCTTCAGCAATGCCCATAACTAGTATTTGTCCTGTTCTTGGAAGTTTTGGCAGCACCTACACAGGTGGGCCATGACCCTGGAATATGTAGTGCAGTGGTCTCCATTTCACAGTGGAGGAACATTCCCAGGGAGGTTTTGGGATGATGCCATAGCGTCCAGCCAACAGAACCAGACCTGCGCTCCTGACTTTCAACCACAAAGCTGAGCTGGAACTGCCACCCTATCGACCTCTGCCAATGGTCAGTTCTAACACTTCTGCTAAACGAATGAGGTAATCCCTGTAATCTGACCACAAAGGTGTAAAGTGATAAGAAAGGTGTTAGCTGGGAGGGCATCTGCATTTTGCCAGGGATGCTCTAGGATACACAAAGCTTCAGGTTACAATGATGGGAAAGACAGAGCAGCATCAATGTCTCGGCTCTCTGGCCTGAGTCTTTTAAGCATGGAAGTGAGGAAATCCTGGCCCTGAGGTCCATGGATAGGCTTTGAAATAGAAAGCAGAAATTTACAGCCTATCCTCAGGTGCTTGGGGGTAGGGTGGGGGGAGGGGTCTGATGCCATCTATAAGCTCCCCAAAGGCGCCAATGGCCTTAGGAGAACTGGCTCCCTCCCGCTTCTTTGGGCTGGGGGCCAGCTTTTGGGCCCTTCTTTCCCATTTCCCTTCCAAGGCAACCAGGATTGCCAGGGGCACCAAAGATCCCCTACACGCT